AATATAAAATATAGATATACTGAAAGCTTTTGGTACGTTATTGTACAATATTCATCAAGAACTGTAATCACATCATAAAAAAAACAATGACGTTATGTGTGTACGGAAAATAGGTTAAGTATAAATTTATTATAAGTAAAAGTATCTTTTTTTTTCATTTTTTCTTGTACCATAAACATACTTTCAAACACTTACGTAAAATATGTATATGCGTTGGAAAAGTATATCTAATAAATTATTTTAATAACAAAAGTGCAAAAAACTTTAATTTCCGAACCGAGAGAAGAAAACAAATCGATGCTTACGTATTCTGGCTTTGTCATGAGACTCAGATTTAGTTCTCGAAGAAAACGGTAAAAGAGAAAATGTCAGGATCCGTGTCTTAAAAATATGTCAGATGCACAGTGCCCAGCCGAGAAGCTGTAAACGCTCTCTCTCTCCGCGTTCCGAGGATGGCTCGGAATCGAGGGAACGGATATGAATTTCTGGAAAGGTTTGCTTAAGCAAATTGCGAAATGCAGTCTGCTAACGGATGGAAAGCAAGAGACAGAGAGAAGAGGCTCGCCGAGAAAACGGCCGGATTCTGAATTGTGCACCTTCGTTTCGCGAATACTCCTCCAACTGTCGTTCCTTTTCGACGTTCTCGCAACTGAGAGAAAGAGAGAGAGAGAGAGAAGTCGCGAAAGCTTCGTCAGTAATGAGGGAAAAACGAATTTTGGCGGGAACGTCGACTACGTGAAATATTGCCGCGTCTAGTCGAGCAGGTTGTTTGTTCAGAATCTCGTGATTAACTTTCAGACAGCTCTCGGAAATATTGTTTTTTTAAATCGTGAAATCTCCTACTCGAGAAAACGTAAATCCTGAACGAACAACAATTAAGTAACGCTAACGAATGAAGCTGGTAAAACCGGAAACACGTGTCAAGTTATCAAAAAGTTATTATTTTAAGATAATTAATTGTTTTTTTTAATTAATTAATATTTACAGCTGTGCATTCGATTATTCTGAAACAATTCTCTCTCCAAAAGTTTCATCAGCTTCACATTTAACAAAAGCAAACTAATTTTCTCTTAATCTTTTTGATGATTCAAATTGCTCGCAACGCCAATTCATAATTCTCTTTTCAATCAAACAATCACTCAAAAATAAATTGCAACGAAACATGATATTCTTTTCCAATCATATTGTTCCTCGTAAATAAATAGTCAGTTACGCAACAGACTGATTGTTCACGTCAACAAATTATAAATAAAACACGATCGGCGATGTAATTTTCTAAATGCACCATCACCACTACAACTATTACTACTACTACTATTTCGCTAAAGTGATACTCGCCGTTTGATGTTTACCACGATCTGCGATAAATTATAAACGAGATACACTCACGCAAGCGCTGAAATAAATACACCGTAATCGACGTAAATCTCTCTACACGTGTCCGTTGACTATACAGCGCGATATATATGTATATATATATATATATATATATATATATATATATATATATATATATAAGCTGACATCGGACTATCATAAATGCAACCCTTTGCTCTTTGAGTGCTCAACCGTCAATACGATCATCAATATGCAACTCACTCACTGCAAACTACGCGCGTCCCGCTCGCGCGAGATTACGTTATACTCCCGATTATGATGCCAGCGAACATTTACATTTTCGAAACCAATTGATTCGTCAGATATATTCACGATGATCTAATAGCCGCGTTCGCGCAAATCAAGCACACTGTGTCCGAGTTTCCAATTAACAATATTAAATGCGACGTAATCGAACTTACGACGAAAGAATTATAAAAAAAAAAAAAAACTAACAAATTAATTGGAAAAACATGAAACACGCGGTGTGTGTCACATTCAACTTCACACTCAAATATACATCACGAGAATTCAATTATATTTTGTGCGCACGCTCAAATTATAGAGAGTTCGAGATGTGTAACTGCGAGAGGGAAAATTCATATTTTCCTGATGCAATAAACGCGCTCGATGGATATAAACAACCTTCACACATCGCGGAGTGATTAGTTTCGCGCGCGAAACATCTCAAAGGAAATTCTCGTTGTTTTCAAGTATAACTCCTTCGTTCCAGAAGGCATCGAACAACAGAGCGTTATCGAAATTCCATACTTGACTGCGACGCGGCCGTGGTACGGTATTAAAGCGAATTAACGAGCATCCTTGACTGGCAATTAAGTGCAATTGGCCTACGTCGTACACGGGCTAATCCGCCCGCCGCCGCCGACGACGACGACGACGGAGACGGCGGATTAAGCGAGCGCGCGTACGCGTTAGGATTGTACGGAACACGATTTTCAACACGGGTGCGATAACGGCAAATTCGATTTGCGACTCGAATTCGAAACGTCGTTAGCCGCCGCTGCCGCTGCTCATTGCGACATAATTCGATTTGCCTTTCATCGCGTGTAACTGACGTATCGGGGTCGTTGATTCGAGAGTAGATTATTGCATGACGTATTAATTTACGTTCGATTAGTCTTTCGGATACGACAACGCACACGTGGCGGTTTTTCAAACTCCCGATCCGGTTGACAAAAGCCGACACAAAACGCTTTGACTAATTCAAAGCACGAGCAAAAAGAGCGCAACACACAGCGAGTCGAGTTAAAATATGTGTCACAAATTACATTTCACAAGTGTGTATTCGAATTTAACCCGAAATTGGAAAAGTGCCACACTTTTGCCGCGGAGATATAAATACTAAAAAAATATAGAGGAAAAAAGAGAAAAAGAGTAATATAAGGCAAGAAATTCGTGACGACAAAATAACACGATTTAGACTTTTCTCGCGCGAGCGACCAACAATGACTCAGAAATATAAGCTCAAAAAAATTTCACACGGAGTTTGTATCCGGAAAATTAAAAACGGTAAACACGTTGGGAGAAAAGTATAGTGACGTTGGATCGTAAACCGCTCGAGCCCGCGCAAAAGCACTCGGCGCTTTATTATCGTTACGCAAAAGTTTCGGGCGCATTATATCAGATACGGCGGTTCCACACCGTTTGGTTGTGACAAGTTGTGCCGCAGAGAGACATCCAGATAAACGTGACAAACTGAGTTCTCGCGATCCAACGTTTCGTCGAAATTACGGCGATACATATACGTCGATAGAAATTTAGGCTGTCCATCTTGCTCCGCGTAACGCCATAAATAATTGATGAACGACGATCGTAGTAGACGAACACACGCAACAGCCTCGCCGCGATATTTCGATTCGGCACATTTCTGTTTTTTTTTTTTTTTTTTCTCGCAATCCTATATTTGAACGCGAGCATACAACACACGCGTCAATATTTCAACGCGCGAGAGCACCGGTTAATCAAATTAGCAACGAGATGAGAGCATGATGCTGTATCACGTCATCTACGTGTTCACCCGTACAACTATCCAAATTCATCGATAGCCAGTTCTGAATAATTTTAATGAGCGTTCCGATCCAACGAAAGTTTTGAACGACAGTTTTGAAACTTAATCAAATTTTATATATATACAATAATTAATTAAACGCAATTGTTATCATATCGTGTTATTACGTTGAAAATTCAAGTGTGTATTCTCTGACGAAACTGACTTTGCTCAGTTCACTGAAATCTACGCTGCTCCTTTGCGAACCGATTATAAACCGTCTGCGCGAATGTACAATGTCGGAAATTACTACCGCGAGCAGCTAAGCACCGGAGAATGGCGACCGGTTGCTCTGTAATTAGGCGAACATGAGAAGATTTGAATAGAGGAATTGTGTTTCTACTTATCAAACGGGCGCGTAATCCGATAGTAAATTATCGTTCTCCTTGAAAACTAATGACGAACGTTTGACGTAAATGAGCTGACACTTTGATAATAATTAGTTAGATATATAAATATATAATAGATACATATATAATTATTTAACATAAGTCCCTGAAATTATTTAAAACACTTGTAGATAGATGGTAGAGATAGATATTCAGCAATTGTGTCTTGGACTTTCTTAAGATTCTTTTCGCGCTCTTTCGAAATTTTTAAGGAAAATATATATGGGACGGGCGAAAAAAATGACTTTTTCATTACATCGCGCGTAAACGGAAGAATCTCCTTATTACAATAGCCAGCCATTAAATCAGTGAAGTTCACAGACTCTCGCGGGGGACGAAGAAAGTTTTGCGGCTAATGACGCGGTACTTTTAAAACGACCGGACTTAGCACGCCGTCCGTGAGGTATTGGTATAAAATTTAGCCGCTCGTATATTCCGTGCAAACTTTCACGAACATAAATATTCCGCACGCCACAAGTACGCCAAGGATAATCCGAAGAAATAGAAAAAAAAAAAACACCTATATTATCGTTTCAGTATCGTTATTCATTAGTATGATGATTTTTTCTTGACTTCGGTAAAATTATAAAATAACACCTTGCGTTACAGAAAGAAGATAAATAAATAGAGACTCAAGACGCGCGTGCACGATAAAATAAAAATATTGATAAGATAAAATGAAGACATAAATCTATAATAAATCTATAATAGTAAAAATAATCTACAATAGTAAAAATAACCTATAATAGTAAAAATAATCCATAATAGTAAAAATAATCTATAATAATAAAAATAATCTATAATAGTAAAAATAATCTATAATAATAAAAATAATAATAATGCAAAGATCTTCTACGACCTGAACGCGAACAACTATTTTTTCATCTTTGTGTTTGTCATGATATAAACATAACGTTTCAACAAATTGTTAATAACTTTGCACCAAAAGTAAGCAAACTTCGAATTCAACAGTAATAAAAAAAAACATAGTAAAAAGAACACACTTTAAAAGTTAAAAAGTTTGTAAAAAGAGATCGAAACATTCGGGACAAATTTTTACTTTATTGGAGCGTATCACTTTGACGTATTGCGAGAGACCCTAAGAGCGAAGAGATTTATAACGCGACCGACCAAGGGTTAAGACACGAACAAGTGGCGGTACTTACCTGAAAGTCGAACTTGCTGAACTCCTGCTGAGCGTCGATATCGGCGTTTCGCGGTACGATTATGGGACAGGTGGCGAGCGTCACCTGGGCGTCGGGCGACTCGTTGAAATCCGGAGTGATGGAGGTCAAGCTGCGGTCGTATCTGAGCTCCTCGTTCAGCAAAGCAGCGGCGGCGGGGTGGCCCGACGACGGCGCCTGGACCTGGCTGACGTAGTATAGGCACAGCAAGAGCGACAACACTACGATACCGAGGACAAAGATGCGGCCGGAGCCGCGACGCAACAACTTGTACATGATTCGATGATCGGTGCGACTCGCGTTCTTCTTCGTAGGCTCCACGGTAGATCACGTTGATTCATCTAGAGAACGAGCAAGTAATGCGACAGATCCGTATGTCGTCGAACTGGCGATGACGATCGACGATCGATCTTCCGTACTGACACCGTTGTACGTCGACTTCATAGAATATTGCAATTATCTAGAAAAGAAAAAAAAACAAATAATACATAACATATATTCTCTTTTATAACACATTTCTCTTTGACTTTTATATTAATTCGTTTGATCAAAAATAAATATTTTCTAAATCTTGTTCAACAGCACGATATATTAAAATTAATAGATCTGTGTGATCTATTAATTTTTTATTTAATAACTTTCGAATGATCAAACGTATAAATTCATATGAGCTCACCCACAACGTGTAAATGAGTAGAATCTGCACAGGTTCGTGTGCTGAAGCACAATAAATAAATCAAAATCATATTTTATATAGCAGCTACGATCATAAATAATAATTAATTGTGATGCGTATACGTTCTTTATCATTGACTGATCAAAATACGAACATTTTAATCTTGTCGAGATGAGAGCGTAAGAGAGATTTACATTTGAATTAATTAATTTCCATGAATTCCATTATTTGAAGGGAAACATACATCATGTAATGCCCTTGTTTAGTGATCATATAGGGGTTATAATATTATATACAGACGAATTAGAGCCCTCATTAACGCTGCTATTTGTGTCATTTGAATAAACACAATACCTAATGTAAATCAAATTTTGAAAAATTGTCATTTTTTCTACCATTGTCACACAGGCGTACAAATGATAACGACCACAGCCCGTATCGCGTGTATTTAAACAATATCAAGTCACTAAATTGCGATCTGATACGTTTCACCTTATACTAAGAGATTGTATAATAGTCCGTTGCGCACGTGGACTTTTTCCAAGCGAAACACGTATCTTTACTCACGAATAGCCAAAATCGGTCGAAATGCAATCGATCACCTATTTGCTAACAATTTTCTCCTCTACTTTTCTACAGTTCCATCATTTGCGACAAACGACCATCCATTCTCGTGAGTAGTAAAGTATCCCAACACATTTTTATAGCTTCGCAAGAAAAAAAAATGACAATGTATATGCACAGTACATACACGCGCAATATACAAATCGATTAAATATCTAGAAAGACATTATTGCTGGTATACGTGCCGTGCGCGCAGCCATTTTTTTATGTGCACATTTAAAATATATTTGTTGCCGACTCGGACTTTTTTAAAAAAAATGGGGACAGGATGCCCACGGAAAAAATACTATATTTTGTGACACCAGTGGACATTATTCCTAGTACTGAGGTACGCGATATTATATGCAACACCGAGAGACAACGCGCATATACTATACGGGCCAACGTGCGACTCTGTCGAATCGTGGCAAAATGGTTTCAAATAAGAAACGTTATAATAGTTTTTGACAACTAAAAATAGCCAAACAATACATGTATCAGATTCGCAATTTCCAACCATTAATTTTCGAACAAAAATAAAACCAAATAAATAATTAAATTTAGAAATTCTCATTATTATTCTGCGCAGTAGGAAATAAATAAAAACTCTCTAACACGTGCACACACACATATATACTCACTATATTTATATATATAAAACGTTTTCTATTAATTTATAAAATCAATTTATATAATATGTACAAATTAAATATACATATATTACTTACTTCTAATTAATAAAGCTACAATTATATGACCTAATTTGTAACACAAACACGAGGGAATTGAGAGTCAACCGATAAGTGATATAAATAAATTTAATGAACCGCAAATTCAAACAGATGTAGCACGCACCGATCGAACGTTTTCCAAAATTGAATCGCAAAAGCAACCGGACAAAATCAAAATTACTCGAGAACTTGCGTTTATTGATTCGATCGAACGTGAAAGACGAATTCAACCTTGTGAACTAGAGACATAGTGTGTGTTTCGTTGGAATCTTTCGTTGCTGGCTAAAACCTCCATTGCAGTGTGTAAGGTCGCTTTTCACGCGATAATCGATCGGGGGCTCTCGTATAACTCTGCGCTCAACGTAGATACGCGACCAGAACGAAGCAGAGGAAGGAAGAGAGAAAGAAAGAGAGAAAGAGAGATGAAAAGCGTGAAGGGTTAGCTAAAAGGGAAGCGAGATTAGAGTTTAATTCGGTATTAACTCGACGCGTGCGAGACAGACGATACGTATATGTGTATGAGAGAGAGAATGCAACGACTTAGTCGAGCGCAACACGATAGAGAAACTATTCGGCCAAAGGTTCATAAAGAGACTAAAACGGCTAGCCAACATCAACATTATCGAAGCGCACATGAGAGAGAGAGAGAGAGAGAGAGAGAGAGAGAGAGAGAGAGAGAGAGAGAGAGAGAAACAAAACAATTTTCAACAAAACTGTGACAGTTATACAGAATGGAAATTCGAGAATAAAGTGTGTTTAATTAAGTCGAATTGCGAAATAGCGTAATAAACCGATAAAATGAGATATAGTTGGAAAATAATTCGAAAATATTTTATACATCGCTTTTACTTTGTAAACTTTTTTATTACGCGATTATTGAGACAAAGTCGTTATTATTAAAGAATCCAGTGGATATTTTTATTTTTATTTATGTTGCTACTACATACGTAATACACACTTTTTAGTTTGTTTTTTTAAATCAAAACCATAAAAAGATAAATACTTCTAAAACTAGGTACGAAACGCGCGCAATAAAATCAATTAAAATGTGATTTATACTATTATATATATATATTTGTATTTATAAACTCTATGATTTGTTGATATCGGTAAAATAGCAATTAATATATAGATATCAATCACGCAAGATTAAAACTTCACCAATCTTCGAACGTAAATTTACTCAAGTACACTATGAGTTTCTAAATATATTCTCGTCATCTCTTTTTGTGATAAAAATTTAGAATTTTTACATCGGATTTTACAAAAATTTCTTTCTTTACAGAGACTTGCACACACACACACACACATACACAAAAGAAAACTAATAAGAACGTAAGAACATCGAGAAGACAAACGAGAAGGACACTGGGACGGTCGGATGCTCGTCGAGACGCTAGTTCCTCGGCCATTCAAGTAACACCCCGGACAACAATGCCTTTGTTCCGTAACGAGAACGATAAAACGTGTCGAGGATGCGTTATCGAGACGACGCGCTCGACACAATCGTAATCGAACGAGCGCGCTTCTTTTCCGGTAATTGCGAAAAATGCGAGGAACAATTGCCGCGCGAGATCGAGCCGAAACGAAAGCTTTAAAAGAATTCTTGTTACACACGTGAGGCACATCGGGGAAAGTTTGGCAAACGCTCGTGCGGAACCGGTTGCGAATGTAATTTTTCGCGTAGGCGCAAGTGTAGCAAAGTGCTCGCAACTCTCGCGCATATACGACGAAAGAATGATTTCTTCCGCGTTTTTCCACTTTCTTTATTTCTCCTACATGTGTTTTTTTTTTCTATCTTCCTTTCTCTTACAAGTCTCTTTCTCACTCTTTCTCACGTTCCGACGCTTTTCGTCGCGTGCCGCATTTCGCGTGTTCGGACGCGCTTTAAATTGGGCGCCCTTTAAAACGTGAGAATTATTCAACGCTCCACCGCGTTACGCCTCCGCCGTTTGTTATCTCGCCTACTGCGCGCGTGTTACGTGACTCGAGTTACGAGCGCGCATCGAGAAAAATGTCGCCCCGTCGACGGTACATTACGATTATCTGTATAGAAGGTATTAGTTCGGTTCTCCCCTTTGAACCGTGTACGCTTAATCGAACATATGTTTCTGATACTGCATGTCTGTTCTGATCTTGTTTTTCATAGTTTTTTCAAGTGTACACGTGCAAAAACCTATTTTATCGTAAAAATATACGCGCCTGTGTGTTTTTATTCCTGAATTATAATTTAATAATTATCGTCACTCTGTGCCAAAAAGCGAACAACAATTTTAAATGTAGCTTTTAACACTTTTGCGTCATAGTTTTTTCCGAAGCAATGTTTTTCGAGTTAAATTGTTATTGCAATTCAACTCTTCAATTATTAATTCACGCGGTGAGCGAAGCTTTCAAATAGCCGCTTTCGATTTTATATTTTACTTACCGCCGAATGTATGCGCGTACGTGCCCACTCGATATATAAATACGTAATTAAAATCAAATGATTAGCATTAAATGTGCGCTACGATTTAAACAAAATTATCGTATTTTGTGCACAAGAGTGGCTGCCAGTGCGGTTGCCTCTACGGCTCGGTAATCAGCGCAAACAAACATTTTGTTATAACAACATATTACGATATATTTCAAACAACTAGAAAATGCAGCTACAGCGGAAATATAAATTTATTGTTTGTGTTTCGTAACACGAGTCGAGAAAGAGAGAGAAAGAGAGAAAAAAAAAGAGAATAATGTATTTTGTTTTTTCTAAAGAATTCTTATTTTCGTGTGAAGCATGTAAAATAAACTTAAAAAAACTATATACACACAAAAGAAACTCATGTAGCATAAAAAGTCACGCTGTTACTAAACCTGTACACCAATATGCAAATAAAAAAATTTTACGAAACGGCGACTCGATTGTTGTACGTAGGTGTTTTTTTTTCATTATTGATTTACATATGTGTCTACGTATTAATATATATCCATTTCAATTTTAATCTCTCTACGAGTGGCCCGCGCGTAAAACCCGCCGTCACTCAAAGATCGTTGTACGCGCATCAAAGTTTCAACGAGGTCGGGAACGTGCATACCCACTTGTATATCGTTAATGAGTATTCTATGCGCGCAATAAACGAAAGAATCACACAAACTAAAGTCAAACCTAACAAATTTCGATACATGCTCTTTCTCACGACGATATATTTCGCACAAATGCAGTGTCATTTTGATGAAAATTGAAAGGATTAAAGAATTTCCAAAGAGAAAAAAAAATTCCAATTATCGCGAGCATTCAAATCGTACCTGTAACTCGTTTGAAAATTTCAAGCCCGTCCGCCTCCAGCGCCGGCACACAAAACGCGGGCAACTGAACACCCACGTGTAAATCCTTGTCAAAAACCGTCAAGCGGTGGTCGGACGGAGATTGGGTTTTCACGACACGACCGCAATACACGCGCGCCCGCGCGCGCA